GAAAGAAGCATTTCCAAGTACGTGATAAAAAGCACTCTAGTGTCTGTTTCTGTTTTTCTTTTAAGCTATCCCAATACAAAATGAAATCACAGCTCTAAAAGTTTCTGAAGTGAGATTCATACTTACGCGGAAGGGGGGGTTGGGGGCAAACAGGAAGTCAACATCAATGGGGACAAGAAAATAGACAATGTTCCCGAGCTGATTATGGTGACAAAGGCACAAACCATTCTTTTCTTGTTGTTGCACAAACCATTCTTAATATGATTGAACTATTAAATCATATGGTAACTTGATTATATCTCAACAAAACTTTTTAAAAATAAATAAGTTTCTGAGATGCAACGGGCAGCCAAAAACTTAGTGCCATTCATAGTGACCCTACAGGGCAGGGTAGAACTGTCCTGTGTGTTTCCAAGACTGTAACTCTTTCCGGGAGTAAAAGCCCCATTTTTCTCCCGCAGAGCAGCTGGTGGTTTCAAACTGCTGACCTTGTAATTAGCAGCCCAATGTGTAACCAGGACACCACATTAATGGTAAAGATTGGCTAAGGCCACTAGGAGGTTTGATAGGTTGTTTTTAATTGCTAAATGAAAGACAAAAAACAAAGAACCCTGGTAGGCAAACAACCTCCAAAACTCACTGCCAGCAAGAGGATTCTGAATTCCAGCCACCCTACAGGACAGGGCAGAACACCCTGTGTGTTTCCCAAACGGCAACTCTTTATGGAGCAGAAAGCATCTATCTCCCGCGGACTGGCTGGAGGTTTCGAAATGCTGAACTTGAGGCCTGCACCCCAATGTGTAACCACTACATCCCCACGGGCTCCTTAAACCTGCTTGACAATAAAAAGTATTTGGGGGGCAGGGGGGTCGTCTGAGGCAAGAGCCACCCGTGAATGTTAAACCTAGGGTGAAATTCAGAGAGAAGACGGATGGTCTTACACCGCCCGCCTCCCATCAGTTGCTTATTATAAAAAGCAGTCTTATATAGTGGAAAAATCCAACAGACTCCACAGACACCAAGTGATCAAAAACCAGACAGATCCAAAATGAAAATATTTCTATTTCAATAGGGGGGAGAGGTGGGGGAGTTGTTTCTCTGAAAAAGAAATCGCTGTCATACAAGACAAAGGCTCTAAAAATTCTCCAAATGAAAGAGATCCAACAGCGAAGCACAACTGGGCCCTGTTCTGGAGGCAAAAGAACAAAACAAACACTATAAAGGACATT